CAATCTTGATCTGCTTCGAAAAATAACAGTTATCAGCGCATATGGCAAAGAATAGGAAGCAATTGTGAGTTTGTAGCAGTTGTAAGATACATGCTTTTTACCTTTCATTTCTTTCAACACACACTTGCTCGTGCACATGTACACACACACATACATATATCCACATAAGTAAACACATGGGCAAAAAATTAAGAAGCGTAATTTCCGGAAGCAACCACGAGGCTTTTATTTTTATCTCATTCTTCTGCCCCAAATATTCCTTTTCGGATTTTCCCATGCTCGTTTCAATTCACGCTTTCTTGTCAGCTTCTCCGGTACCGGCTTTTGTTGTAGTTGTTGTGCCAGTTGCATTTTTTGCGTCAGTTGTTTCTTTGTCTAAAATTTATAAAAAGATTTTCAACAAGCACCGTTGTACTTAATTTGGCTTTAGACAACCAGTCCACTTGTGCATTAAAATATGAAGAAATTTTCAATTAATCTATTTTTCAATTACCTCGCAAAGGAAGTAATAATTGAAAAATTTCAATTATCACTTCCTTTGCGAGGTAACTGCCAGTAACTTTTGATTTCACACATAGAGTCATCTTGCTAGGAACTGAAGGAGTACTGGAACGCACTGAACTGGCCATAAAATATTTTATATACTTATTTTGCCTGTGTAACACAAACACCGGGTAACATGCAGTGTTTGTGCTCATCACTGAGGAAGGAGAGCAGTTGAATTTTTGTTAAATCAGACTGCGCAAACGCCAAAAGGAATGTTGTTTAAAATTTTATGGAAAAAATGAAGTGAATGTAAAATGCGCATTGGCATAAATTCAGCAAGAAGACAGCTAGGAATTAGCTTCTCGGTCTCGTGGGTAGTTATGCTGGATTATCAGTGAGTGCATTATAAAGCCAAGCAAGGCGAATAGAGTCAGGTGGAATGCTTCCAACAAACTTCCGGAACTTATTCCAGCTATGATATAATATTGTCAGAGGAGCACCTCCTTCCAGCTTTGCCAGGTTGATGCAAAAAATGGAATAATGCGTTTTCTGGTGAAATTAGAAAAGATTACGCAAGCATTAATATGGAATTGCTACACTAAATCTTTCGCACGTTAAAAATATTTCGTTCTTGAAGAATAATAACGCGTTGGTAGAAGAAGGTTCTAGTGCTAGCTGCGGTATGAAGTGAGCAAGTAAGAAAGTAAGGCAGAAAATTTAGGTTTACTTAGTGTAAACAAATAGTAAGTAAGGCAGGAGATAAGGGTTAGTCTAAGTATCACATGGAAGAAGAAATGTTTGGATGTAATCTGTCCCTTAGCTATAACACAGACCGAACGCGTAACACGCCTAAAACTAGTACCTCACAGAAGCAAATCTTTTCTCAGTATCACAAAATTTAATATTTTAGAATTTTGTATTGCAGTCAAACTCCAGAAAAATTGCAGCACAATGCGGAATTCTACTTCTACAGCAGTTACGTGGGCACGTCAGTTTTAAGTCTGAGAAGCTTTTTCAGCTGGCTTGTTAGAACAAATTTATGTAACAACCCCCTAAACTGCTGCTCAAAGTAACAACTAACACTGTCACTGAGACCAACCAGAAGACAGTCGATGTGGGAAATCCAGCTTGTTGCTCTTGATACATTTTCAGCTAAAAAACTTTTAAACCCGAAAAATCTTACCTGGTGCTTCTGTATCTTCGGGTTCTGGTGGTAAAGTCGTTGTTGGTGATCGACGTGGGACATAAGTAAATCGTATGACTAAATTCTTTATCATCGGAATTTCAATATTTTTCAATTCCTCACGGTAATGCTCCTCCTCGGCTTTATCGTCGTCAAAATTCGGATAATCCAGCTCAAACGGACGGGTCTCACTCCAGTAGCGTTTTACACGGTTTTGTGGCACTCTCTGTTTTTCTCCCAGCACCAATTCGCCGGTCAGCAAAAATACTAAAATTGCTAACAATAAGGAGCCTAAATGAAATCGCTTTTGTAAATGGGTATCAGATCTAGTTTGTTGGCTTTGCGAAACTTGAAAGCAAAATTTAAAACTTTGTCAAAGATTTAGGCTATCCGAACAATAGTTGCTAGAAATCCCATTTTAGTGACATTGCTGGAATGCTCTCACACACCAGACGCGGTTATATAATTCAAAGCCATGAATTTAAAAAGGCTGAATATAACCATTACATAATAAAGAACCGGCCTGCAAAAAATGCCTTTCACATTTTATCCTTCATAATTTTGTTATATTGTGCATTTTATGCTTCATAATTTTGTTCAGCGGGTTATAAAATTTTTTCCTCTGCCTCTTCTGGTACAAAAGAACATATTACGTCTTATGTGCCCAACACTTGAGGGAAGCACCGTAAAGCAAAGTTGTT